ATAAAAAAAAAAGACGGTCACCTGGTTGCCGAGTTCACGAAGTGAATTGGCTTGTTTTACAACGTCGTTGCCAAGCGACAAAAACCCAACCCCGATGGCAAACACCGAGGGGGGGGCGGCTTGTTTTACAACGTCGTTGCCAAGCGACGAAAACCCAACCCCGATGGCAAACACCGGGGGGGGGGGCACATGAAACATCGACGAGACATATTCAACATACGCCCAGTGTCCAGCTGGCTTTCTTCTAGTCACAGAGAAGACTCCAATCCATCCCGTTCGACTGTGATCGGTTATATCGCGAACGGTTATTTTTCTGTGTGCTTTACGTATATATTCTGACAGACAGGGAAAACCGAGAGAACTCGCACACCTCGGCGCGGGCGGTCTCCTTAAACCCGTCATCTTCGTCGAAGCGCGCCTTGGCTTCCTTGTAGAACGTCACCAAGTCTCCCACGTTGAACTGCGACAAAAAAAATAGAGCACATGGTTGGGAATCCGATATGGTTACGAATGATAGAGGCAGGGAGCGAGGTATTTGTGGCAGGCTGTCGGCTTTCTTCGAAAGGACCATCAACGGATGGCGCTCGAGTAGAACGTTTGCGGGAGAGCTAAGGTGTAAGCCGGGAAGTTCCACGAAAAAACAAGGGTATACTGCCAACCGCCAACACCCCCCAGAGACACTCCCACCCCTAACAGGAGCAACAACGATAACAAAAGCAACAGCAACAGCAGCAGCAGCAGCAGCAGCAACACCAACAATGACACACCACTTGGCAGCATCAACGCCCACGACTCCACAAAATCCCAATCGAAAACCACATCGGAGAGGCTCCCTTTCCTGTCATGAAACGCTTGCCTTGTCCTCCGCCCCATCCTCGATAGCCTCTGGTGCGACTTCTTTGAGGTGGGAGATGAGCATCCCGAACTGTGTCCCCCAGTCTCCGACATGGTTCAGCCGCACCTGATCAGAACCAGAACAATAAGCGGGGGGAAACCATCACGAAAACCTGACACAATCAACGCCGTCTTGCGACATGGGTTGTCAACAAATGGGTTCCATGAGACCTGATGATGGCCGACAACAAGCTATTATCTAAAATTGATGTTTTCCTCACATATTCGGTTCCTATGCACACGGTGAGCAGTACGAAGCGAGAGACAGCAGCAGCTAGGCACGAACGATTGGCTTGTCCAAATCGGCAAAACTTTGTCTGTACACCAGGCCCGATACCGCCTTGCTTAAAGAACCATCATCTGTAACAAATGTGGTGAAGAATTTTTGAGTCCATCTCCTTACTACAAAGCGTGTACCGTTTTGGGGTAGATGGTCTGAGGCTTTTCTGAGTCTGTCTCTGCGTTCGTTTGAAAAAATTCTAGAAGTTTGTATTGTACCGTTTTATCGTTTTAGGAGTCGCAGGTGGCCGCGTCAGTTGGATCGGCGAGGATGTCAGCAGTTTCCGGGACGATTGCTGATGTGAAGAGAACAAGGAAAAATCGCACGGCCACGAACACGGTACACACTCGAACAACAAGAACCAAAGGAAAAAAAAGAAAAAAGAAGAAAGAAAGGAGGAAGCGGCAATGGGAGAATCACCACAGCAGTGACAACGCACACGACGGAAATACAAGAGTAAATAACGCGCACACAAAATAACAATGAAAAGATACAGAGGATAAAAGAAGCGGGACATAAATAGAGAGCAAAACTCGCGCTCGAATGAAAACAATATAGAAATGGTAAAAAAACGGAATGGAATTAGAGAGGAAAGACGTTCGGCACGTCAACACCGGCCGCGGGGAGGGGGGGGGGGTTCTCGGAACGGAACGGGTCGTTGATTGGTCGACCGTGTAACAAGGTCATCGCCGACTAAAAAAAAAACACAAAAGAGGTCTGTCGTTCGGTCTGCTGAGAATTGATATCATGTCATCTCTTTGGGCAGCTGGTCAGCGTTCTGATTCTTGTGAAACGAACAAACACACCTGACATACTGCTGTGCAACATTCACACATGCCGCAGCGAAAATCATTAAAGAGAGGGGCCGAGAGAGAGAGAGCGAGACCGAGAGCAACAGCGAGAGCGAGAGAGAGAAGATTCTATCTCAATCATCAACAGACACAGATTCCGAAAAAGGCGCAACGACCAAAGCCCACGAGATAAAACAAGGACGAGACTCACGATATCGTGCCCTCTGAACTCGAGCACCCGGCAGATCGTGTCCCCTATGATAGTGCTGCGGAGGTGTCCCACGTGCATCTCCTTCGCGATGTTGGGGCTCGAGAAGTCCACCACCACCCGCTGGGGGTTAGTTACCCTGCAGGGCCCCCCAACACAACAAAGAGGAAAACACGCACAAGACGCGCGAAAACAAGCCTCAGCTCTACGATCAACCGAGTCTCAAAACTCCCAAAAAATGATGTTTTTATCGGCAAAGAGTGCCACACCGCGGGCCAGATGCAGACGCGAAAGTGAACGCTACAGATAGTGTTTGAGTAGCAAGCCGCGCGGTCAATACCAACAATAGAAACACACGTACATGGACGCACCGACAACCGAGAGCAAAGCGGTGTGTGTCCGTACGGTCGGTGCAAACGAGGGCAGCGGGCGTGCCTTCACGACTGTAACAACGAGAGCAGCATGTGTGGTGTCTTTCTTCACAGTTACATTGCGCAACCCAGCGATTAATGCCACGTGTAAAGAGGTAAACCAGGCAGCCCCCCTTCTGCCGAACAAGAACGCCGGCTTCCTGCTCGTCGCCGTTGCTCCATTGTGCCGACCATGACCAACCCCTCCCTTGTTGTTGAAAGTTTTCCCGCCAAATAGTCGCCGTGTTTAGCTCGCCCGCACTACGCGTATACTCTAGTGCCGTAGGTGGCAGAACCGAACCAAACCGGGAGCGATGGTAAACTACAAACAAACAAAAAAAGGGGATGACGCAGAAAGAAAAAAAAAGAGTCGGCGTGTGTGTGGTATCACCGACAGGTTAGGTTAAACTTCTTTTTACCTCGGGACACCCAGCCGCTCGCCGTCTCCCACCATGCTCTTAACCTTGGCCGCGACGAAACCGTCCCTGAGCCTGAGGTTGATAAACCCGGGCCCGGCGATCTCGGGGGCCTCGCAAATGGCCGCCAAGCGGGGCCCCAGCTTCTCGGCGAGGCTTGAGGCCACGTCGCGGGGCTTGCACTTGAGGGGCTTCGCGAGCGCCATTGCCGCGTTGCACTGTAGATGAGGGGGGGGG